CAACCTTTACTGGTTGGCTGCGTCGGGTGGTGGCGGGTTTAACGACGCATTTACACTTACATGATCTAACACAACATCACCTTCATTATTAATGATACCGATGTAAGATTTGTGAGATACAATTCCCGAGTGTGTAATGTTTGTGGAGTTGTAATAATCACAGTGACAACTGGGCATCATTCTGGCGATGTCTGGTGATGTCATCGCGATCTCGTCCCAAACTCCTGACGTTGTTGATTCGTTCTGCAGTCAGATGATCAGCAAGGCCCGGCTAATGATCTCCCTTTGTTGCTGCTTTAGATCAACGACAGACAATAGGGGCACTGAAGTCCTTTTTGCCAGGACGTCAAAGATAGATGCATACTTTAGTCTAGGCAAACTTGTTTTTCAGACGCATACGAAACCTTTGCTGAACATCACTTGGGCGGTGGCAGATTTTATCTGAAACTGTCCCAGGTGTCCCCTGGGTTAACTCGACCGATACAAGCAGCTTGCGGGGGGGGGGGGGGGACGCCAGAAATCGGGAGACACGTGCAGGGTCGTGCAGCTAGCCCCCCTTTGTACGATGCGATGGGGTTCATCGGTGCTTGATAACTTAAGAGGTGCTTGATAACCCCCCCCCCCCCTTCCCGACGGTCTGTGAGGCTGATCAGGCGATGTCCGAATACCTTTCGGAAACAAAGCTGCACTGTAGTTCCATACTCCTCGTGCATTATTTATTTGGCTCACCGCGGTACAGCCAGCCGTTGCTGAGCGGACAGCAGTAGATCGCGTACGGCCCTGGCTTAGAAAAGTCACTTTTTACCCGTCACCTATTTTACACGCTGTTATTTAACTCACTCTGTCTGTTGTCGTATCCTTAAAAAAATCTTGTAACTCAATTTTTACCCACTTCCCAATGTGCTATCGACTGCAAACTTGGTATACTTATGTCATACTAGTGACAAGACTATATTCTATCATAAAAAAATAAAAATATGTATTTTTAATATTTTACACCCTTTTATTAACTCTATTGTCGTATCCTCAAATCTTGTAACTCAATTTCAACCGTCTTCCCAATGTCGTATCGACTGCAAACTTGGTATAGGTATGTCATAATGATGACAATACTATATTCTATCATTAAAAACAATTTTAAACAATCTTTTTTCCGGGTTTAATTGTCCACGCTCAACTCACGTTGGCTGTAAATCACCACGGCCCCTTACGTTATGGCAAGCTTCGGGGCCACTTCCAGGAGTCGTAGAGCTCTGCCATCACTCGCACGGTACATTTCATTAAAGCGTGTTTAATATTACTTATTTTACATTAGATTTGTGCCGCAACAGTAACGCAACTCGGGAGGACGTGTACATTTACAGGATGCGCTGGCTTTGTTCGGATCGGGAACGCTCAAGACGTTTCGCAGGCTTTCGCGAAAGCAATTACAATTGTATTCAACAACAATTGGTTTTCGCTATGAGTGGTTAAAACCTTGCAAGAGTGTACTATTTAGTAATATAATAACTACAGTAGTGCAGCAGTGATTTTATCAACAAGTATACGGGTGCAAAACCCAGTCAGTGGTAATTCAGCCCATCATCATCCCCTTTGGGATGATAAAATAGGTACCACTTGGTCACCATGACTTGATGTAAAGTCAACAGTATGATCATACTCGACGTATTTCCACCATTGACTCCACAGGAGTAGAGAACAACGTCACGCTCTGCACGACATGGGGACGTTGAGACTTTGACAATATAATTGGTTAACGGCACGCCTGGCACACGCGGTTATTTTCAACACGGATGGCCTTTACAACTCTAAGCGTAACATCCAATGCACTGACCGACTGTACACAGATACGAACGTGAAACCCAATGAGCCATTGGTCTAATATTTTAAGCAGTGGTTATATATTCCGAGCTTTTGCAGTAACCCCTCACTGCTCTCTTTCTCGTGTTTTACTAATGGTTAGACGGCACGCAGTGTCTACTATCTCGTGTGCGGGATGAGAGTCTGTGCGGTTGAAATACTCGTGGCCAGGGGGATAGCGGGGGGGGGGGGGTCACTATGGGCGGCTAGCCGTTTGCTGCTGCTGCTGCTGCTACACGGTCCCGTGTCAGATGCTATTTGTGGGTATTTTTTTTAAGATAGCAAGACCCAGTGAAATATCCTCCCCTGCAATTGGTGGCCTCTATTGTGGAGCAGGTGCCCACATACACACTGTTTATATGTCCTTCCAATAAAACATGCTCAACACAACCTCCGATTCGTTGCGTTCGGTTGGCTGCGTACGGTGCAAAAGAAGTTCAGTGCGTTTTAAAGTATGTAAATATACGCTTGGTTGGGAACCTGGTGACCCGAGTTCGATTCCCGCTCACGGCACAACACCGCCAGTGACGATTATCTGAACCGGTCGTGGGCCTCGCTTAGGTCGACTCAGCCTCAAATGAGTACCTGGTGCGTGGTGTAAACATCCCCACTGGGAGGACCAATGCGGCCGGGCGAGGCGTTTGCTACACACCACCCCTATCGTGCGCCATGTCGGCCTTCATAGGTGCTACTCGCTAACAGCACTTGCCCCAACAGTCTGTTAATGCGAAACGGGGGGGGGGGGGGTCTTTGTCTTGTGTGACTGATGGCTGTTGACTGACAGTGAAGGTGGTGGGTATGGTCAGGGTGTACGTTTGACGGTGCTGTGTAAGCCACAATGTGAATGCCAGCTCTATGGAGAACATGTACGTGGCGGGCTAAATGGGACAGCGCTGAACGTGGCATGGAATAAAAAATGTCAAATTTCTACACAAGGTAATTACAGTCATGGTGTCATGAACTATACACGTTAAGGTAGGCCACACAATGTATTATGAATGTGATATATGATACGCCGCCGTTTGCATCATGCATGGAGGACATGCGTCCACTGTTGCCCAACTTGGTTGCCCATAGTGACAGCGGGATGGTGGTGGGGGTATCGCAAGTCCACACGGATGTCAGCTGGTTTTACTGATTGTCTCCATAATCAATAATAGGTGAAAGGGCAGTGGTGATCAGTTACGTACGAGCATCTGGGGCAAACGTGATTCGTTTTTGCAAGATAAACCCAATAAAAGCTTAACATCTGAGTGTATTTGTTTTCTGCGCTTTATAACATATTTTACGAAACAAAACACTCAATAGCATCACGCACGTAACAACACGTGATTTATCTTCTTGGTTCTTTCGGTAAAGTCACGTAGAAGGGAAATAATAAAATAATAAAAATTAAACATAATTATGTTTTATTATATAAAACATAATTATGTTTTATTATTTTATTACTTCCCTTCTACGTGACTTTACCGAAAATAATAAAAATAAAACATAATTATGTTTTATTATATAAAACATAATTATGTTTTATTATTTTATTACTTCCCTTCTACGTGACTTTACCGAAAGAACCAAGCAGATGAATCCCTGCAGTCACGAAAGCTTTAAATCGAAACACGTGATTTAATAAATTAGAGACCAATATAGCGCAAGACTACGAAAATATTAACTTTGCAGTAATTTTTTTATATTTCGCATCACAATTTACAATAAAAATGAGAATCCTTCATAATTTTTACTGACAGAATGATGCTAACATTGTCATTATTAAAGCTTACGTTTGGTGAATTGTTTATTTGACTAAAAGCACTGGAGCATAAAAATAAGGCGGTGTTTTCTGTCTAACTCCCGAAAAGATCGGTCGGCATGCGATGGCTGTGTGCCTCATGGCACATGGGAGATGCAGACATCACCGTGAACAACGGTGACGTCTGAGTTGTAAACGACTACATGTATGTTACATGTTTTCCAAGCTGTACACGTTCAAAGATTTGCAAATCCTGTCTTCAAACATCATCAATACCAGCTATCCATATTCCAGTCCAGTCTGTTACAACCGAGCATTCAATAAGAGGAAGCCACTGGAGCTATGGACTTTTAAATCAAGATTGAAAACTAGTTTCTTTAAAACTCCTCTGTTTAGTTCGTTGTCCTTTGCCTGCAACTGCGATTAGCACGGCTGACTAGGTACAACGCAAAAAAGTTTAACTTCCAGACGTACAACACCACAACATTAGCTTGGTTATCTGGAGCTCAATCTTGATGGCGAAATAAAAACGAAATAAGTATAATAAAACTAAATAAGTACTTGCCCGTTGATCTCTAATGTTTAAAATGTGAGCAGTGTGCGTGCTCGCGTGGTGCCCAGTTCTAGCCACCATCGGCATAAAACGATCTGCGTACCACCATATTAAATCATTCGCGTTCGCTTAGGGAAATACGAGACGAGTAACTTCAATGGATAAATGACAATTCATCCAACTCGATGACCAGTGCACCCGGCATGCACCCGACCCCCATCAGACGCCGTGAAATTGGCAGCGTTGAGCAAGGATAGTGCCGTGCGCGGATGAGTGAGCACCACGTGCAATAAGGCAGATGCAGCAGCAGGAGGCGCTATGGGCAGTGCAGAAAATCCCATCGTTGTTCCTGCACTCCACCTCCCACCTTCAATGAGCCGCCACTGACCAGCGTGTAGTACGGTCAAATATTCCTCATGGCCTACGAGGCGTCGGTGGGGGAGGCCCCCTCATCCGGCAGCAGTCTGATGAAAAGGTTTCTACGCGGGTGCGCACAATCTGGCTCTGCAAATCCCTGGGTTGCCCCCGGACACCCACAGTGGCTTCCAAACCCCTTCCCCCCGGCAAGAGAAAAGATCGTTACCTTGAGAATCTCCAGGTCCAGGATGTCGAACACGGCCTCGGGGACGCCCGACAGCATGAGCAGGTGCAGCTCCATCTTGTCCTGCGCATTCTTGGTGACATGCTGGCGCAGCTTCTCGTAGCTCCACTCGTGGTTGAGGCTCAGCTGGCGCAGCTTGTTCTCGCTCACCTCCGACAGGAAGACGGCGAAGCGCTTTGAGTAGAGCGAGTCGTACTGGTCGATCATGTGCATGAGGAAGGCGAAGTCGTTCTTCACGTCGGGGATGTCGCTGAAGTTGCTCTCCTCGCGCACCTTCTCGAACGAGTACTCCTTCAGAGGCCGCTTAAAGAGCCAGTAGAGCGTGTAGAAGCACACAAGGCCATAGAGCACAACCACGGCCATGTAGGTGTAGAGCACCTTGCGGAGCAGGTAGGCCAGCGTGTGCGTGCAGCAGAACGTGGTGTATCCGATCAGCTCCTCCACGTCCGGCACGCACTCGTGCAAGAACTGGATCTGATCCACGAAGTATGACGTGTAGCCCACGATGAGCAGGATCTTCAGAGTCTTTCACGAGGCTCTGCAGGGTGTACAGCTGGTAGATGATGTCGCTCTCCTCCACGTGGAGGCGAAACTTGCGCACCTTCTCGAAGAGCGCCTTCGCCTGCTCGCCGTCCTTCTTGTCCAAGATGGTGACGCTCACGCCGCTCTGGATGGACGTCTCGTGCATCTGCTTGTCCACCGGCGCCAGCGGAACGCTCTCCTGGTCCTTGGCGAACATGGGCATGCTGGGGTTGAGGCTGCCCCCATCGCCGGCGCTCACCGAGCCCAAGTTGCTCTTGGGAGGAGACGCGTGGTCGGACAGCTTGCTCTGGTGCTGCGGAGCGGTCCCGGTAACCTCCGACTCCTCGCACGCCGTCTCCGACAGGGCCTTGGTGGTCCACGGAGACTCGAAGCACTTGCCCAGGATGGAGACAAAGTGCTCGAGCTTGGAACTCGTCTTGGGATACTTGAACCAGAAGTTGCTGCTCGCCATCAGGATGACCGTGTGAATTAAGGCAAGGAAAGGCATGTACTTGGATATCCAAGGCAGAACATCGTGGTAGCATTTCTGATTCACGAAGATGTATTGCATGTATTCCATCCCCGTTTGTCTGCCACTGGGACTAGAATCTAGGGGTGGAAACAAACACAAAAGCATAACCTTTACACGTGTGCTTGTTAGGAGAAACACAACAGAATGTAAACTAAAATGCACGCCAGTACACAATTGGCATCATGAATTCGAGCTCTGAATCAGAATAGGAATATTTATTTAGACAGGAGGAATCCGATGAGCTATAAAGCTCTTTTTCACAGATGTCCAGTAGGGGCATGGCCTCAGAACATTATGACATCCGATGCCCTGGAACAGCTCTTTGTGAAGACAATGGCAGGGGGCAGCATGCAGTGCCCATTCTACTGCATCCGTGTCTTGAGCACAGGCTCCCAATTTTCACGCCGGGCTCACTCAAAAGTCTCTCTCTCTTGCCAGCCACTTCCTCGTTAACTGCGTACCGTGGTTTAACATCGGATGAACTGTTGCTATGGCTAAGGGCTGCAGGTGCTGGTGTATTCATGGTGAACACTGAATTTGGTCCGATGCCACCGCTGGGCTATATATCGTGCAGCTGAAATGCGCTTGCCGCAGAGTGTTGTTTAATTAGCAAAAGTAAATTTAAGCAAAGGGAACACATTCAATAGTTCCACGGTCAGTAGTTGTATTCTCAGTCTCAAATACTACACGCGTTTATCTTTAATTGTTGTATTGGACACACATTTCGTTAGAGTTTTAATGAAATTCCAGCAAAAAGATGCCACCGTTTAATCAAAAAGCAATTATAGAAAATAATACAAGTTATGTTTAATTAATTAAACAGATGTAAGGTATTGGGGCTGTGATATAGCTCAGCTGGTGGAGCAACAGACTTCCAATAGCAAGGACATAAGTTGAAACCATGGCCAAATTCAAGTCAGCCCAACTCCACTCAGGGGTCAACCATGGAATAATAATACGCCACCTGATGTGGACTCTTTCACAAGAAGCCATTAGTTTAAGTCAAATAGAATTATCCCTATCATTAGAACATGGCATTTACACTGAGAGTTCAATGTGGAATTCGACCATTTGTTGAGGCAGTAAGAGATGCTCAGGAGACCTGCAATGATTCCAAACGCGTATGTTACATATTAGCGCGCTACACGGGTGCACGACGCGTGCAACGAGTCATAGAACGGGGGCATGCGACCCCCGCAACCACGAGAGGAAGCAACCTGAACCACAAAGTGGGAGAAAACAAGTCGATTCTTGAATCAAATTGCATCTCCAAATCTTGCCAGTTGATTGACTCGCGAGGGGGGGGGGGGCAAAAAGTTACATGCCTCTTGCGTAGACTTTGCGTAAATTGACGAGTCAATCACTGACGACGACACACGTTTCTTGCATGAATAAAACACCAAATAGTATATATTTTTTTGTGATGATAAAAAAAAGAGAATAGGCTTTACGTTTTATGTTTAAACACCAAATAGACACCCTGCTGCAAGGCATCAAGTATGCCATTAACCACGCATGCTTGTGGTCGAACATGTAAACAAACATGCTCTGATAACATGTGCATTGTCTTTGAAAAGGTGCCGGAGATATCGCCGCTCAACCAGAGATATTAATGTTCTTTAATATCTGCATTGTCTTTGTTCTACGTACGGTGCGAAAGACGTTCAACGTACATACACATGTCCTGTTCGCTTTTTGGTGTTGTTCTCTGGTCTGACACTCCTAGTGAGACTAGGTCATAAAGAATAATACAATCTGACATTTTATTATTATTGCTATGATTTATGCTGGCAAAAGATCAGTGTGATTTAAATTTTAGTCAACTTTTTTTTTCAAGTGTAATACTTGTTGCGGACCGTCCTTTTCGCAAGTCAATAAAAATAAAGTGTCAGATTGATCTTGTGCAAGGTTTGTCTAACCCCTGGCCACATCTCCTCATAACTGCGCTCCCCGGTCCTTTCCAATCAAAACGGCATTCCTGCCGTGCGTTCAAACCCCTTCCGTTAATCTATCCAGAGGAGATTATGTGTCGTGAAGGCGCCGTTTTCCCTTATCCTTGGTGGCCTTGACGAGACATCAGACTCGCCCGTCTGCTAAACCCATGACAACACATGCAGCGGTGGTGAGAGGAACGGCGCTTTTGCACAAGCCGCGTGATGTTGCGCATGTTCATTATGTGCAAACTGCGAAACATCCGGGGCGACGTGGCCAACACTCGTGCCTGAGAAGCATTACGACGTAGAAACAGTCCCCGCTTTGAGAATGGGTTGGCAGCTAGGCAAACTTGGTACGTGGCAATGTCCCAGGAGGTGCATTAGGTGATTTATAAATGTGACATTATATCGTGAGAGTCATCGGTGAATAATCATGTATGAATCTGCCAATATAAAATAACTACGATAAAATGTAAATCCATATGGTAACCTATAATTACGTAAAATACTTTTCTCAACTCATTGGTCGTAAACAATGTGGCTTCCGTTGAATTTTGTTTATTCCCTTGCAGTTACTAGCTAGTTAGGATACCTCACAAAATGTACAATTAGTTAAAATATTGATATTCATTAATCACAGTACCATGTTGGGTCAGGCATGGGGGGGGGGGGAGTAACGCAGTTGAAACAAAAGTCAAATAGGGGTGTACAGTACCCACAAAAAAGATTAAGAACCGCCGCTTGGTCTACACGGTGACTGACAAAACTCCGAACGGAAAACCGACACTTACGCGACGCCATTACGACAATTGAGTCGGAAGTGGGATGAGAATTCAAGCGCGGTGCAAAGCTCGAACCTTTTGTTGGCGCATTGGGCGAGGCCGTGGCCAGCAGGGACTTCTGTATGGCCGAGTCGGAGAGACACGTCACGTTCTCGTCCAGCTTGGGAAGGCAGCAGAGCGGGTCGCGTGAGAACTGCATGGTGCCGGCGAAGATGGACAGCATAAGCATGACGATGCCCAGGTAGTCGAGGAACACGTCCCACCAGGGCTTGAGGATGCGGTAAGCCGGCTGAGAGTCGCTCAGCGACGCGACCTCCGTCACCGTAAACATTGCCTGTGAAAAGCAAAGCGGGGGAAAAAACACAAACACGGTTCGGTGACTCGTTCATTATCCCGGAAGCTGCGAAACACATTCCTGCGGAGGGAGCTGGTAGGAACGTTGGGTTGCTCAGTCAATGGCCAGGGTCAACGGTGGCGTGGTGTATTCCGCAAATATGGCCGACTGTGAGGGCGGGCACAAGCCGGCGTGAGTAGGTTAAACGTTGAGTTTTATAAGGGCACCACAGGGTGACCAGCCCCTCCCCAACCAGCCCCACCCCTCCCACCCCCCGGCCCAGCCCCACCCTCCCCACCCAGCCCCTCCCCAACCTCCCCACCCAGCCCCTCCCCACCCTCCTCACCCAGCCCCTCCCCACCCAGCCCCACCCTCCCCACCCAGCCCCTCCCTGCACGACAGACACAATAATCCCCTGTGGGCTGGTGTAACCAGGAGGTTCCTACCAGTATTACTATTTCACTTGACGGTAACTATGGAGCGTCATTCCCCTTGCCTTCTCCTGCAAAGTTGAAATATCGAGTTTCATTCAGGCTTAAGCCAAGTGAGGACCAGGTAGGTTCGTCCATTTCATCTTGTTTAGAGATAACGAAAGGTGTAATCTCCGAGATGGTTCGCACATTTTCCAGGACACATCTAATGTAACCTCCATATATTTATTTCAACATGTCGCAGTAAATGCCTAGTTGCCCACCTACTTAATTTGCATTCTATTCAAAAGCATGAGCGTAATTTCAGGTTCGCCTGATTTAACTCGCGGTTAGCTTACCAACCTGAAGCGTCGTAACGAAGCAACGGGACCACATGTGACCCCGTGATGCTGGCAACCAAAAGGACATTTTAAGCCCAGGCCTAGCTTCCAACCCACGCATCGACGGCAATGTCTCTTGCCCAGGTGGCATCACCAAGTTAGTGGCTGAATTATTACCTGTGCTCGTTTTAACATCGCAGGCTGCAAACGCACTGCTTCATACCCACCGCCAACATTGCACAATGTGCGTCACGCCTTGCGAAAAGACAGGACGATGGCATCTTCCCTCAATGCAAACGATATCAGCAAATTATCCAGAGCTATAGAGAGAAAACCCATCTAATTTACAAAATGTATCCTTCCCACACAATGCCTTTTTGCCACCGTCACCAAAAACAATGTACGGTAATTATATGGAGAAAGAGAATTGTACATTCGTATTAAACATACACAACCTTTTGTATCCTGAAATTCTTCCGCACCGTACGTAGCTAACCGTGCGTTGTTAATCTAGTGCTGGATGAGGGCCTCCCCATGCCGTGCAGGTCACGAAAGTTATTTGACCTAAAACCGCTAATCTGGTGTGGGTTGATGAAGGCGGGCGCAGCATAGACGTGAGTATAGTACAGTTCAACAATGAATTTTTTTCCAACGTAGCCCCACAGCAGCCTACAACACCTGTGTTATGCATGGTGGTTGCTGTCCAAGCAGTATCCAGCCCCAACCCTGCTTAGCTTCCGGGATTGGATGAGATTCAGGCGCATTCTGGGTGATGTAACAACAGTCCAATCGTATTAGTGTCACTGTATTGATATCTACGACAGTATGTTCCGTTCTTGTGTTATCTAAAAGTTTCAAGGCCGCCCTTATTCACACTCTATTTATGCTCATGTCATATTCAGACTTTGATCACGAATAAAACCCATGCAATGGCACTCGCGCCTAGTTGCATAACTTGGGACATACAACAATGTTCCCTGCTAGGTTTCAAATTGCCAGCGGTACGCGCACATAGGAGAAGTTTGAAATGACAATCAAAAACACGTGTGGCGATCATCACAACCTCTGCGCATTACACAGACAGCATCCCCACTTCCTGAAGAAGTGCATTGTGGTCCTCGTGATGCCCACTTCTGCAGGGTCTACCTCTCAAAACCCAATTTCCCCACACGACTGGGCCCATTGGCTTGGCGGATGCCAACGATATCCAACTCTTCAAATGATGAGGAAACCTATCATCTATATAAATAAAGACCTTAATCTGTATGTCTCAAAAACGTCTAGGGTATTACCCGACATGGTAGAAAGCTGAAGTTTGATACATAGGTAGCTTTTAGGACACAAACAGGAAAAATAAAAAAATCAGATTTTTTTTGTGCCCCATTGACATGTTTGTACGAGTCAGTCAGAAACCGTTTAAAATATCAGATAACATTTTTTTTCGTTTGATAGAGCGTTAAACAGCAAATACAATTAAAGCGAGACCCATTGTTCTATCTTTTATTGTTTTTGAGATTTCGGATTTAAGCAGTTTTTAACTAAATAGGACGCATTTCAAATCTGAATAATTCGAAAACGGTAAAAGATAGGGTCTTCCCCTCAGAGTATCAAGTTCATTCATTTTTGTTCTTTATTATGAAAAAGAACGGAATATTAAAATTGAGTCATCAACAATTATATTTTATTCGCGGAAAAATACACATTTTTGGAGAAGTTGTTAGTGGTCTGATCATAGATACGAATTGTAAAAATTATATTATATTTCTTGAACATTTTTGCCTGGCGAAGACGGCCTTTATGAACAAATTATATATATCTGGGAAATGTTTGCCGCGCTCAAAAGGCTATATATAAATACGAGTAAAAGTTTGTACAAAAAAACGACAGACAACAATGCCACGCAAAGCCTTAAGAGACCGTTAGGCAAAGTACTGTTAGCGAGCACCTATGAGGGCCGGAACGGTACACAATGGGGTGGGTGGCCAGCACCACGCCTGGCCGCCTTTGTCTTACCAGTGGCGATGATTTTACACACCCCACCAGGTACTCATTTGAGGCCGAGTCGACCGAGAGAAGGCCCAGGACCGGTTCAGATAATCGTCACTGGTGTTGGCCGTGAGCGGGAATCGAACTCGGGTCGCCGGGTTACGTAACGTGGCGCGCTAACCCGCTACACGCCACCGCACACAGATACACACACGCCAACAACCGTATATGATGTATTTGTCAAGTTGGTATACATAATGGAGTGGCTGAAAGAGCAGGGGGCCAAAGGTTTTGAATACAACCCTCTCAAATGCGGCTCGTGCAAACCACCGCACTGCCGCCTGTCTGCGCGCACCCATTGCACTGCCGAGCGTTGCCTTTGTTACAAGCGTATTGCGCAGGCCCCACTTGAACTGGCACTCACTTGGGACAGCAATGAAAGGCAATTTATCTTGCAGCCTAGCTTCCTTTGGGGCCTAAGTAATCGTGAACAGCCGAAATAAAAAGGCATCATAAACAGATGTACAAATTGATCACCGCGTTAAGTGAGACGTTACCTTCCGCCAAAGTCGCGCGAGTGGTCCCCCTGATGAGAAGCCAACTGGGAGGCCCGCAGCGGCGAGGAGGCGCATGACCACCCAAGTACGTTTAAACCCAACAAATATGCCAAGGCTTATCAAGGGCACGCTTAAAGTTGATATTAACACAACAGTATTTCAAAAGGTTTCGCATCCGACTGCTAAAAAGTGAACACTTAGAAATGTACTTTTGTGAGGCAGCGCATTTGCCACATGTCTTGTTTTCACACGAAGTGTTGAAGTTTTTACATGGACGGCCGCTTGGTGGTCTCTTGATGAAAGGCGCTCGCTCTACAAAGTAGATTACCGCTATTTATAAAGACTTTTTCTGACGTAATATTTCAATACGTGTATTTTCCTTACGAGAAACAAAAAACGCATCTTACAGTTATTGAAAACTGCGTTTTAGTCATCTTTTTGGTTGCCATAGGAGTTAATATCCATTACACCTCGAGCCAGCGCCACTAAACAGGCCAAATTTGCATTTCCCAGTGCTGGTCATTTGGCATTAAACGATTCACTCTCTACATACATTTCAGGAACTCTCACCCCCACAGTCACAATTTGATTCAAGATTCCATCCCTTCTCGGGTTTTACTGTCTCCATTGAATGCCGTCTTGTTTGTGTCTCTTGCATCTGTACCATTAGCATAAATGTAACACTTAGCGTCTCGTTCTTATAAATCACACGGACTATAACTTTCATCTTTGTACGAACAATACCGAGGATTGATTTCCATCGAGGCTTTACGAGCTATGCTCGGAAAATGGTCTCCCGACTCAATTGAGAGGTACTGGCTTGCCAAGAGGACGACAGCTATAGCAGTTGCTGAAGCAAAAACCCCCAGGGCGTGGGAGGAGTTTGGAAAGGCCATGGAGATGAGATAACCGGGCAGCCTCAAAGATGTTCTGACAAACCATCCGACGCCTTAGGAGGGGTCGACGGGACGTGGCCCAGGCTGTTGTCAGGAAGGGCGGCGTAACATTGAACTCAACTAAGGAGATAGTCAAGGAGATGGAAGGAACACTTTGAGAAGTTCCTCAACCCGGTGGACATGCCCTCCTCTCAGGAGGCAACCCTGGAAACAGCTGGGGGGGGGGGGGGTCGGATCCATTATGGCTTCTGAAGTCACTGCGGCTGTCGAGGGCCTTTGTAGCAGCAAAGCTGTTGGGGTGGCCAAGATTCGCCCAGAGTTGTTGAAAGCGCTGGACAGTGTAGGAGTGTCCTGGTTAACACGCAATATTCAATGTTGCATGGAAGGCGGGTACAGTACCGCTGGTTTAAAAAACTGGAGTCGTGGTCCCCATTTTTAAGAAAGGGGACCAGAGGGTGTGTTGCAACTACAGAGGAACCACACTCCTCACAGCGTCCCAGGTAAGGCCTACGCCAGAGTGCTAGACAGGCAGCCAATGAAAAACGCACAAACGTGACTTGGCAGCTCTATTATCGGACTCATATTTGGCAGACAAATAAAGCTATAAATGACACTTTTAAGCTCGCTATCGGAAGAACGAATGTAACGATTCATCGATTTAAGAATCAATACATTACTATTCACACCTGTTGTTTGGAACGTGTATGCAAACGTGCCATTTACGTTCACGTGGTAAATGAGATCGAATTGGATAACAAATGAGACAGTCAAATTTACAAAAAAATAATTGATTCCTGAATAAAAATCACA